TCCAAATGTAGCCTGCTGTTTTCTCCCCTCTGCAGCCACATGAGAATAAATCTAGGACACAGAGAAGATGTGTGTAGCACTTCAACCCCAAATGAGACACTGTAGGGTTTTTTGATTTTTTTTTCTTTTGTATTGCATGCTAACAGGTTAGAGCAGTGTTTCTCAACCGTGGGAACCTTAAAGGTGTGGGCCGTACACCCCCAAAACCCCCCCGGCAGGAGTGGGGGGCGGGGGAATTCTGGGAATTGGTCCACACATCTTAAAGTTCCCAAGGTTGAGAACACTGGATTAGAGTAAGTATATCAAGTATGGCTTCTAGAATTATTTTTAACCCTTTAAAAAAAGTTCTGCTCTAAGACACATGACCGGGAAGAGGGGCCTACTGCTTCTCTCCTTGGAGTGCATTGAGGAATTTTTTTTAAATGGATGTTTTTCTCCACAACTTTTGGCTGCACTTGCCCTATTTTCAGACTTGTTCTTCCTTTTGCCACATTCTCCCCTCACACCAAATTTGGTCCAGTTCTAATCTGTTTGGGGAGTGTTATTGTAGAGAGTAAGAAAGATGACCTTGTCAGAGATGGGCCAGATCCGTTACCAAAGCAACAAGGAGAAAAACCTGGCTGAAGTCCAAAACAAGCCAAAAGCACGCATCTGTAGCTCAGATAGACACCTCGCTAATTCACATAAGAAGTGGAGGAAGCACAGCACACTCAGACTTACAAGATTCTGTCATTATACCTCCAGTAAAAGTAGACTTAGCCTTCCTGTAGAGTTGATTCTTCTTCTGGTCTACCTGGTGGGGCTGATGATTATCTAGTTATCCTGATGATGGATAGGCAGAAGACAGAGTCCCAAGTCCTTTTTATATAATTTATTTCCAACATTCCATTGAGTTGGAAAGAAGGAAGGAAAGGAAGGGCAACAGATAGCTGTGTTGGGCTATCTGCGTGCATTGACTGGATAAGTACTTTACCCTGGTTAGCATAGCCTTTCCTCATCTTCAGATGAGGTTGAACTGGAAGTGCCATCAGGGACATCTGCAGGAGGGAACCCAAAAGTGAAGATGGCAATGTAGAGGACAGGGGGAATGGCCTTGAAGGACAGGAGGAAGAGGCAACAGGTAACAGTCACATAAGTGGGGCCTGAGCATGGGCCAAGAAAGTAACTTGAGAAAACATGTCAGACATGCAAGATTCTGTTATTATAGCTGTTACAATAAAAGTATTACTGACCTACATGATATTGGTTCCTTAGTCTGGTCTTAGGGCTGACAGGTGGCTGTGACCATGTGATTGAAAGGCCACCCTCTTAAGAAAGGAGGCAGGGCTTTGATTCCATGATTGTGGCTGCCATCTTGCCTTCACGACCTCCCTCCCTTACAGATACCCCTGACTATCAGGATCTCCTCTGGAGAGTGCTAGTTTCACAAAGGCTGTCAAGGTGTTTGATTTCTCCAGAGTTGTGTTTGTTTGTGAGGCTCCAAAGAAAGTTTTGTAAAGAGCTGATGGGATCAGTCACCCGAGCATGGAATTCATCCAACTTATGTAGCTGAAACCTAGAGATGTTTTTGACTATGAGAACTGTGGAGTTATTGGGAAGGACCTGAAACTTTGGTGGAGGAGTAACTCAGGGCTTTTTCCTCTTCCTGCAGGCGAAAACAAAAGGGATTGAAAGTGGTATGGACATCGGGGTGAGATATTCAGAGAAACAGGAGAGAGCCTTTGACGATGCAAAACTCAAGGCTGGACACTGTGTCATCGGTCTACAGGTACATTTGGTGACCTTGTGGCTCTTGGGGACCAATGGAAAGGTGATCTAAGCTGGTGTAGGACAATGGTCAAAAGGCTAAGCTGTGCAGTCAGGAAGTCCTGGTTCTGAAGCCTGTTTCTGTTGTAAAAATGCTTTCTCTGTCAATTCTTTCTGCTCTTTAGTAAGGTTGTGAAGCACTTTGGATTTGAAGGCAAAATAGTCCTTTGAAGAGTGCGCAAATGTAGGACCTGTTGCAATTCCTTAAACCAAACACATCCTTTCCTAGAATTGGACATGTCCAAAGAGTTGCTGAGCCATAATGACTTAGAAGGAACAAATTGCAGAAGAAGTGAAACAGTTTTAGCAGCTTGAGGAGCTGGTCATAGATGTCCATTCCTAAACTAGAATGACACCAGAATGAAGAAACGTGTGTCATGGCATCATTACACAAGTTCTGTTCTTTCACTTGCAAGAACATAAGGGGGAGAGTTTGCATCATGATGCATGTTTCATCCCTTGTCTTCCTCTTGTAGACACCTATGGAGCAAGTGGATGAAATCCAGAGATCTGCTGTAGTTATGGTATATCAGACATAGTAAGACTTAACCAAGCTGCTGTTTCTCTTCAGATGGGCACCAACAAGTGCGCTAGCCAGTCAGGAATGACCGCATATGGAACCAGGAGGCACCTCTATGACCCCAAGAACCAGATACTACCTCCAATGGACCATTCGACCATTAGTTTGCAAATGGGTACCAATAAGTGTGCCAGCCAGGTAAGAACTTGGAGTTTTATTTTCCAAGCCAAAAGAGGTTGGAGGCTTCCCCAAGATATACTGATTATTTGCAGGATCCATGCCTTGCAGCAGAGAGATAACACCAACAAATTGCCCCCTTTTTGTAAACCTTGACAAGAATATCTCAGCATTGTCATTTTATGCTGTTCAGCCATGATTTAACCATGGTTTCTTGAATAAGCCAGTCAGGTAAATTCACACATTGCAGTGAATCCTAAGCCAAGGTTTACAAACCACATTTTGGCTTGGTGCAGTGCACAAACCCAGCCTCTGTTTTCCTTATGAGCAAAGTAATCACAATTTATTGGGTCAATTCTTTGTTTTCTCCATTTCTGCTGGCACTGCCCAGGAAAAATGGGCAGGGTGTGAAAACATGCCAGGAATAAGCACAGTGTCTGACTCAGACATCACACCAGGCTAGAATTTGTAGACTAACCAGCTGTGTTTCCAATTGCTAACGATAAACCGCAATCTTTTCCCTGAGGTAGTTTAGCACATCGCTCTAAGCCAAAAGCAAACCACATTATGGCTTTGCACTACAGATAAGCCAGCCACCTCTGTGCCAGATAAATACAATCCTGCTTTCTTTCCTCTTGTGAAAGGTCTCCCACAATTGTAACATACTTTTTATATCAACTGTTACAAATAGCTGTATTACTCCACTTTTATTTAATTATGGTTTTAGTTGTTTCCAGTTATACCTTCTACCTCTGGTTGTAATAAACATTCATTAATTCATTCATTCATTCATTCATTCATTCATTCATTCATTCATTCATTCATTCCTCTCCCCGTTCAGGTGGGCATGACGGCGCCAGGAACCCGCCGGCACATCTATGATTCCAAGCTGGGCACGGACAAATGTGATGACAGCTCCATGTCCCTCCAGATGGGCTACAATCAGGGGGCCAACCAGAGCGGGCAGGTGTTCGGTTTGGGCCGCCAAATCTATGACCCCAAGTATTGCCCTCAAGGCAATGCTGGGGAGGCAGCCAACGCCGCCTCAAACGAGGACCAGAACTCAGCCAACTATTATTACTATCAGGAGGACCAGTGAGCTGGATTTTTTCTTTCCCTTGCCCTCTTTTTTCCTTCTTTTTCCCAACCACCGCTGGACAATTCCTGGCATAGTCCAGCAATACTGCAACGTATGTATTTTTAACGTTTTAAAAGGGAAAAAGAGTTGTCCAAGCTGCCTTTCCCTTCTACCCCCCAAGGATAGGAAAAAATAAAGGTGTTCACCCTTGTTTTTTTTAAGAAAGAGAGTAAAGCTGATCCTTAACATTACAAGGGTCAGAGCAAAGACCGTGTGACCGTCCCCTGTTGCCCAAACTTACCTCTAGATACTGGACGTAATAAACTCAGTATAAAGATGCAGGTTTGATTTTACACTTTAAAAAAACCCAACACTTTTACATCCTGGACAAATTATTTAAATGATACATGTGCACGTGGAGAGGGTTGCAAAATTTAACCTGGATTTTCCCAGATGCAGGCAGCAATTTCCAAAGTCTGAAAACCACTTTTTACAACTGTAATTGGACGCGAGGCCTAGCTAGGATTTTTTAAACCATGGTTTGTGGACCAAGCCAGAGATCACTGGAAACCTCTTAATGCTCCTGGTTCTGACTTGTATAGCTCGCATTACCTGAGTGAAATTTGGTATGGTTGGATTCTGTATAATGCCCCACCCCACCATGGCCTTAGCCTGCTTCTTCCAAGTGTCCTAAGGAGACGTTGAAGGAGAAATAAAACTTTCTCCCTCTCAACAACCAGAAATTTCCCTCGGTTCCCACTCAGTTCTACACGGAATTTTCCCTGTTCAATTTCTGGCCAATCAGAGTAGCTGATACCAGGCTGGATGGACCAATAACAAGAGCTGGGATAAGGCACCTTCACTTCCCCACACTTCCGGTTGTGCTCGCACACCCATGAGGTCCAGAAATGGGAGGAGACTTGGTTCTTTCTTCCAGTGCTCAAGAGGAATTACTCTGGTCACCTTTTCATATTCTGCCAGGTGACCACATCTAGGCTACAAAAATCCAGACCACAGCTAGATGGCAGCAGGTAACAGGCTGGAAACTAAATACTTGCTGCCATTTGTCCAAATTTGCAGCCCTGTAATTGGGTTTCAAAGTTAATCTTGAGGCTTTTATGGCTGAAACAAAATCATGTAATGGATATTTTGAGGTATTTGATTACAGGGCTGAAATTTTCCTTTACAAAGAATATTTCCCTCATGTTAAAGGGGAATGGATATGCTGCCTTTGCCAGCCTGGAGGCTGTCGGATATGCTGGATTATGAAATCCCCCAGTTCCCAGCCGGTACTGAAAAATCTTATGCTGATTAGGAATTCCATAAATTGCAGTCTTACAATCTAAACTGGAAGAAAATGGAGCTGACAACTGCCTAGCACAGAGTAGAACCTTCATTACCTTAAACTCGTTTAGTGGACAAAACCTTTGCTTTCCAGAATGTTTCCATAATTCTGCCTAGAAGCTTGGCATTTTTTCCCTCTTTGGAATCTCTATCAGATTTTTAATCTGAGCTGATGAACTGGAAAAAGTGGATGCTAGCCGTGATCATTTTTACTTATGGCACTTAATTTGCAAAGAGTTCTCTGGTTTAATCCATCCTTGTCCTGATGCTACAAAAAGGAGTTTGAACCCAGATGAAACCTCTCTCCACTGTCTGCTCTGATATTCAGTTACATCAAGTCTGTTTGCCCTTCTGTGAGCAAATAATTGACCACTTTTTCAGAAGCTAGTTACTGAGGTCACGGGGTGATGCTGGATTAGGGTTTTTTTCTTTTAATGTTTCTTGTACTGGAGGACTAGCGATATGTAGCTGTCTGTCTTCGTCATTTTTAAGATTTGATTCCGCAAGGGTCACTGTTACTCAGGCTATATCCGTAGGGACATAGAGATTTTACATTGTAAGGGAGGGGTGTCTAACCTGTTGAGGTCTAGGAACTTGAAAAAAGCTTTCAGAGGTAGTCCTGTTTTTCTCCTCTGCCCCCTCCTCTGTTTGATGGGGCTTAATACTTTTTTCTGCTGCTGTACAACGGATCAAGGGACCATGACTTTTCCTTAGGCCAAAGTAAAGCTTTAAAGTCTAAGTATCTGCATAGTACATAAAAGTCACCTTTTTCTCAAAAAAAAAAAGGGTACTTAGGGACCAATATATTTAAACATCATTGCTTGTTCAAAAATCCGATAGTTGCCTTAATTTTTTATATGCTGGAAAAAAGGAATCGTGATTTGAGTCACTTTGCCATGCTAGCTTTCTTCACAGAAATGAATTGGGTGCCCGTCCTAGGTTTCAGCCTGTGGAGATAGAGGTTGAATTTACATCACATGTGAAGCTGAGCTTATAGTGCTTTGTGAAATGTTGCTAACTGTGCTTTGCTTGCAAACATGAAAGTTGTTCAGAACTCCTTAGCCATTACCTCTGAGTTGTCTTTCTCCATAGCAGCTTTGTGGAAGAATCGAATTCGATGCATTTGGGGCTCCAAGAGTGGGACTGGAAGCATCGGGCCAATAGATGCAAGCGTGCATACTTTTTAAGGGGCTCCACTTTTCAGAGTGAAAACTTTCTTGGCAAAGAATATTACCTGATACAAGGGGCGAATTGATGTAAAGCAGCCTTCCACATCTGGGGCCTGCCAGACATTGTTAACTACAGTTCCCATCACCCCAGGCAGGGATGGTGGGAGCTGTACTGGGGGAACACCATATTATAGGAGAATATGGTCTACAGGCATGCTTCTTTGATCAAGCCTATCTCTGGTTTCATAAGGATTGCCAGCTGATATGTCAGTCAAGAGGTAGAAGTGTATCTAGTCCACATACACGTATCAGAAAATGTAGGTTTTGAAGATACCCATGGCCAAGAACCTTGTGGCATCTTCAAAGCCTAAATTTTCTGATATATCAGCATGTGGTCTCTGGCATTTTGTTAATGAAGGTATTTAAATCTCTTAAAAGCCTTTATTTTAACCCAGCTTCCCTCTACTTTAATTATCAGTGTTCTTCCTTTTAAACAAAAAACTGGATCTGCTCTTCTGTAGGTGTATGGATAGAGCTACGTACATTTCTCTGGCAGAGTTGCTGAGGCAGAAAGCACGCTGTCTCGTCTGAGAAATAGTAGGACTGATGGATAGAATGTGAACCTGCAATATTTGAATTTAAGCAATAAAAGGGCTTCAAAAGCAAAACCCGGTGTGCGTTCGTGGGGGCTTGTTTTCCTGAGGGATCAAAAATCGAGCAAGCAAACTGGTATATGCAGGGAATTTAAAAAAAAAATAAAGTTGGCAATTGCAGCTGTACAAAGCCCCACCCCTTTTGAATGTGTGCGATGGCCATAAAAAAGGCAACATGGCTTGCATCATGTAGTTGCAGCTGCCAACATGATTTTGACAGCCCCCTGCAAACAGCAATGATTGTTTTGTATCAGAATAGCAAATAATGTGCCATGAAACATTTCATTTTGTAATTTAGGCAGTTTCGTCCTGTGAGAGCAAGAGCAGCCGAGCAATGCTGTTTAAAAAAACACACCAGTCTGTGTTCATGACAACACAGTAAGCAAAATAGAAAACACATGGCCCAATATGAGTCAAAATAGGAAAATTAGAAAACACAGCATTTACACTAAAGCTTAAATGAAATTAAAACCCATGGCTGATCACAAAAGCAGGATCGGTAGCCATCACAAACATTCTTGCTATATTTAAGCCCTGTTCACCTACCATGCCAGGTTTGCTTAACTAGGGTTTATTTAATAAGCCACTATGGGGACCACAAAGCCACCAATCATGGTTTACAACCCCAACAGCTGAGTTTCCAGAACCCCTGGGGCCAAAACTGAGCTACATGATGTCTTGGGCTGTGGTCCCTCCAGATGTTGCTGAAATACAGTCCTGGCTGCTTCATCTGGAGAGCAACAGCTGCCTGCTCCCTCCTTAAAAGTAGGCTTAGACCTGGGGCTAGACTCCAGCTTAATTGTGCCAGCAACTCCACCCTTTCCCAGTTATAAAAGAAGCACCTGTCTCTTAATTTGCAGCCAAGAAAGCAGGTGTTGGAAGCTGTTCACCTGAGACTGCTTTTCAGGAGCTGTAGATTGGGGTAGAGAGACGTTGGTGAACAACTGGGGGTTACTCCTGCTGGATTTGTCTAATGTGCTGGGATAAAATATGCTTTGCTTGTTTGTGGTACTTTGTGTCTGATGAGCTTAACTGTAGCTTAACAGCTCAGTTTCTTAGCTTTGCACAGCACAAAGCCATAAATTAACCACACAGGTTTACAGAACACCCTGGGCTAAAATGGGCTTGGGAAGTTTCTGTGTTGTGCAAAGGCAGTGCTGTGTTACATGAGCCCAGCCAAGTTGGTTAATTCAGCAGACCAGCACGCTCTAAACTCAACCTTGGTCTGTGTTCATGTGGTATGCTGAGTCACAAATTCAGCCCACTACAGCTGAGTTTACTGAATGGTCTGAACCCAGCCTTGGTGGTGGTTTATGGTCCAAAATGTTGTGTGAACCAGGAAAATTAGATTGAGTCAACCTTATCTCATGGGAAAGTGTGTTTATAGAATCACAGATTAGGAGGGGCCTTGCAGATCATCCAGTCCAACTCCTTGCACTGTGCAGGAAGTTTGTGTTGTACAAACATAGTCTAACACAAAGGAACAGTCTACTTATGGAGGGTGGGTTGTCAGCCTTGCAAAGTAGTCCAGACAAGAAGCACACCCAGGATTATTAGCTCTAACTTTATTGTAAGGTGACATTAACAGAATCTTGCAAGTCTGAAAGTCCATCTCTCCCCCCCTCACCTTTACAGTCCATGAAACTAGGGAGGGTCCCTTCTGAGACGTTTGCTATGCCCCCATTCCTTCTGTGGGCTCAGTCGCCTCTATCTGACCATTGCCTAGTCTGCGGCTCTTCCACCTGTCTCCCAGGGTCATTCCCACATACCATTACATGGGTTCTCCATCTCTGGAGGTTTCTGAAAAGAGGCTAGACGGGCATTTCTTATGGATGGTTTGTTGCAGAGGGCTGGACTAGATAATTTCTTGTCTTGGCAAGACTGGCTGGGGAATTCTGGGAGTTGAAATCCACCCATCTGAAAGTTGCCAAGGTTGAGAAACCCTGATCTAGAGCTTTTTCTCTGTTTACTCAGCAACAATTTGTCCATTATTTGCTTTGAAAGTGAAGAGGCTGATTACTCTTTAACCCCAAAAATCTATTTGCATGCTTTGAGTCAACTCTGCATTTTGGATCACGCCTTCAAACATTCCTGACTGGCTTCTGTGTGAGAACTGGAAAGTCGTGTGCTTGATCATCCTCAAGGCTTTATATACATCAGTTGTTATTCCACATTCCAGTTCCTGCAAATCCAAAATGGTAACTATTCCAAGTCTACATACACATAGACTTAGAAATTGATTAAAAACTCACTTAAACAAGGGGCGTGAAGGACTTGTGGTCCTGTCAACCTACCAGGCTCTCTGTCTACAATGTAAAATGCAGGACATTGAAATCTGGGCTGCAAAGATATTGATGGCCATTAATGGCAGCAGCAAATTAGAATTTTCTCTATCTCTAGTGGCCATTCAGATTGTTGCACCCAGACAGGACAGGTCTAAAGTAATATACAGTTCTGTAACTAAATGGATAAACAAGCTTGTGACTGCAAGATTGACTGCTAGCTCAGGAGCAGCCCAATCTTTTCTAGCCTGGTACCTTCGAGTTGTTTTTACACTGCCACTTCCAGAATTCTCAGTCAAGTTTAATCCCAATGCATCTGGAAGACACTGCGCTAAGGAACACCAACTGAACATAGTTCAAATATTTAATTATACCAACAGCGGCTGCATTGTGCACCAGTTCTGGGCTATATCTGCAACTGTAATGGTAAGTGAGAAAGGTCTTGAGAAATGGGGCGAAGTGATGCTGCCTAGGGAAAGTCAGATAAGAGCGGGCATAGCCCTCGGCTGCATAATGGGCAGAGAAAGAGGCTCAGAAGGGACCCTCCCTAACTTCTCAGGCTGTAAAGGAGACGGGAGATTTGTACTTTCAGACATGCAAGATTCGGTTAATGTAGCCTTACAATAAAGTAGAATTAGCTCATCTGGTCATGTTTCCTGTCTGGACTGCCTGGGGAGGCTGACAGCAACTAACACTAGTCCAATTTTAAAAAGACTTGTCCTTCTCCAAAAGGGAACAACATTGAGACAGTAGCAACTCCTCAGGATGGCCAGCAGAGGCACATTAAGGAGCTCTGCTGATATTTTAATAGTCTTCCAAAAACACAGAGAAACAGATAAGAAGAAACTCCTGCAGTGCATTATTTATTATTTGATTTCTATAGCCACCCAATCTCAACAAGTGACTCTGGGCAGCGGGCCTGTCCAAAACATGCTGAGCACAGATCCATGCATGGAAAATACATCTAAAAACATTGAGATTCTTATCAGCAGGAGCCCAATAACCCTTATGTTGCTGATCAAATGGATGCTGACATTTCTGCAGCATTCAGGATATGGTGTATCTTTTCCAAGTTTTTGTACCCTTGGAATGACAATTCACTTTTCCTGCTGGCTGGGACAGGGGGAAAAGAAGTATTTCCTGTTTGCAGAAACACAACCCTGGGGGGAAAATAGTATTTCCTTTGTTTAAACGCACGCAAGGAGGTGGACTTTTCCCACCAACAGCACTTGGTTGCTACCCTTTAATTATGGCAGAGTGCCCCTCTATCCAGACTAGTCCTTTGGTTACAGCACACAGTTATCTTACATGGGGTGTTTGCTTTTACGGATCTTGGTAGATCTTACGGCCTTGGTCTCCAAGATCACCGTAAAATAGATCGGATTGCGAGGGGCATGGTGCCCTGGGGCGTTGCAGGACTACCATATTTGGACTGCAGAAATCGAGACGATCACTAGGTGGCAGCAAAGAGAGATGGAAAATTAACTCTTTGTAGCTTATTAGGGTTCGTAAGGATTTTTACAGCCCAGAGAAGATAGTTCTAGTTATGCTAACGATTTATTGTGTTCAAACCGTGCTGGGTTTGAACGGTCTATCTAGTCTAGCATTCTTTTTGCACAATGGTGCACCCACTGCCTTAAGAATGACAAAGGAAGCAAAGGACGACATCATCATCATCATCTTCATCCCCATTCTCCTCCTCATCAACAAGTACAATACTGTACATAATGACTCTTCCCCCATTCCTAAACTCCCCCACCATTAGGCCGCGGCTCCTTTAAGAAGAGGACGATCTACGTCACGCGATTGGTGATAACTCCTCTTGCGTTACCTTCATAAGCTTAGAAGGCTGGCTGCTCCGGCGTTCCAAATCCGAACGTTGGCGGTCGGCGAAAGGGCGTGGTCTGTGAGAGGACTTTGAGGCTGGTTACATTCTCTCTGGTTGTTTTGTAAACAATGGAGAACTTAATGGGGATAGGGTCTCGCCTTAAAGGGACCGCGCCAGACGAGCGGGTAAAAAGTCATCTTAAAAAGACATTTTCTAATGAAGTTAAAGAAAAAAAATCCCCTCCTCTCCTCATTCTCTCTCCTACACCCCAGGGCAGTGTTTCTCAACCTTGGCAGCCTTCAGATGTGTGGACTTTAATTCCCAGCTGGGGAATTCTGGGAGTTGAATTGTACACATCTGAATGCTGCCAAGGTTGAGAAACACTGCCCCAGAGGGTTTGCCTGACATGTTCCAGTGTGTGTGTCTTCGGTATGTATCTGTTGATTTTGTTGTTGTTGTTATTTTGCAGGATAAACCAAGTGCTCTATTTTCCTCTCTCTAGGCCTCTAGCGCAGTACCACGTTTATTAATATTAGTGTGCATTTATCATACAGTTATGACAGGATCAAGGGTTTTAAGAGAGTATGTCTATTTTAATTTGAAAAATAGGTGGTGCTCCCTCTATGAAATTGATCCTTTGGGTATCTCATGTTCATTTTTCCTGGGAGTTTTATTTCCTTTTTAAGATGCATTTCTATGCATATTTACTGGGGAGTAAAAACTCCAGAGTGTTCAGTACAGGGTAAGAGGACAAATAATGTATACAAAAGTGGGGATATCTTTTTTAAAAAATCCACAATGAGTTTCCACATTACCTGTATTATCTTCTCCAGAGACAGCCTTTTGCATTCTCATGCCATGCAATTGGGACTACAGCTCCCAGAATTCCCAGGTACACACGAAGA